TTGGCTATTATGAATAATGCTACTAAGAACATTTACGTACAATGTATATTTTTATGAACATATATTTTCTTTTTTCTTGAGACTAGACCTAGGAGTTAAATTACTAGCCCATATGGTGTTTTTTTGGTTTTTTGGTGTTTTGTTTTGGGTTTTTTTGGTACCAGGGATCGAACTCAGGACCTTGTGCTTGTGAGGCAGGCACAGCATCACTGAGCTAAATTCCCGGCCCTCATATGGTTTTGAAGACCCACTAAACGATTTTCCAAGGAACTACCATTTTACCTTCCCATCAGCAATGTATGATGGCTCCAGTTTCTCCACCTCCTCTCCAACACTTGTTGTTGGCCATCTTTTTCATTATAGCCATCCTGGCAGGTGTGAAGTGTAATGTCTGTGTGCATTTTCCCCATGACCAGTGATGTTGAGCATCGTTTTGTGTGTTAATTGGCTGTATGCCTCCTTTGGAGGAATGTCTGTTCAGAACCTTTTCCCATTTTTAAATTTGTTTTGTGCCTTTTTATTTTTGAGAATGAGAATTTTTTAGTTAGTCTGGATTCAAAACCTCTTTGCAGCTCAGTTTTATCGCCCAAATTTACCTCAAAATACTCTACTAAGGTAGAAAACTATCCTAATACATGTGAAAAACAGTGTTATACAGAGTTTTTCTTTAACAATAACTGTTTGATTTTATTAAATTTTGACCATATGAAACTGAGGAAATCTGTTCTTTTTCCCTATAGTCATATTGTATTTTAGCTAAAATAACTGATAAATGTACCTTCTGTTAACTCCCAAAGGCTATTCTATTTTTTTTTTCCTTTTTTAACTTTGTCTTAACTATGCCAGTGGTTTATTCACAGTGTCCAAAAATAAAAGAAAAATATTAGGTTGAAAAATACTTCCAGCATGAATTTGTCTCTGAGCAGAAAAACTCAGCACTACCACAGGACACGGTTTCTCTGACATATTTTATACTATAAGCATGTAGGCTCATTTAAAATTTTTTTGGCAGAATTTAAATGTGGTCTGTACATCATAGTACATAGTACATCAATCTGAGTAACCCAACTTTGGTAATTACACTGCCTGGCATGAAAGGATATGCTTGTTCTTAGAAAATTTAAACTGAGGGTTTAGTGGTAAAGGGATGCCTGAGTCAGACTTACTCTGCTCAAATAGTTCAAAAGAAAATACTATGGCCGAGGATTTAGCTCAGTGGTGCTGCCCCTGTCTCACAAGCAAAAAGGTCTTGAGTTTGATCCCCGGGGGGTAGGGATGGGGGAGTAAAAGAAAATATTAATGTATGTTCCGAGAGAAATAGTGATGAAGTAAATGTGATCAAATGATCAAAATGATATCAATTGATAATTCTGAGGGAAGGTACCCTGAAATTTCTTTTGACTATTATTCCTCTTTTTCCTTGAGTTTAAAATTATATATGTCAGATCATATTACAGTGATACCTGCATACCCATGTTTATAGCAGCATAATTCATAAGAGCTACATCTTGGAAGCAGCCTATCTGTCCATCAGCAGATGAATGGATAAAGAAAATGTGGTATTTACACACAATGGAGTACTACTCTGCCATAAAAAGGATAAATGAGTGATTTATAGGAAAATGGATGCACCTTGAGACCATAACATTAAGTGAAATAAATCAGACACACAAGTTTAAACCCAAAATGTAAATAAAGAGAAAACAAAAGATAGATAATAGGAAGTAGGAAGACAGATCTTTTATAAATAGGAAGGGGGATCAAGAGAAGGAGGGAGGAAGAGGAAGAGGGGAGAGGGAGCAGAGGGGAAGAGGATGAAAATGGTTTACATACATGTACCAATTCCATGCAAGGAATATAAACATCCTGTAAGCAGACATGTACTAATAAAAAAGAAAAAATTTAAGTGCAAAATCATGTCAAAATAAGAAGTAAAGGGCCTGGGATCTTACAAGGCATCCACAGCATGCACGAGGTCCTGGGTTCAATCTCCAATTTCCAGTACCAAAAAAAGAGAAAAAATTGTAAAAAGTAAGTATGATAAACATATTCTTAAAATTTAAATTAAAATATCAAGGCACGTACAGAGTATTCTTGGTTTCATATCTATGTGAAATTTAAACCAGGCATGGTGGTGCACGCCTATAATCCCAGCACTTGGGAGGGTGAGGCAGGAGGATCGCCATGAGTTCAAGGCCAGCCTGGGCTACATAGTGAGTTCAAGGCCAGTCTGAACTGCATAACAAGACTCAGTCTTAAAAAAAAAATTATAAGTGAAAACTCAGATAGGAAAGGGGAAAAACTTTTTTTGAGCCTCATCAAATATATATTTTAAAAATAACCCAGAAGCCATTAGAGAGTTTAATTACATAAAAAGTGAACCAAGAGAAAAGAATAAAAACAGACAGTCACACCACCTTTCCATATTTTCTGACCACTTTGTTTCTTGCTCTGGTGTCTAAGTATATAAAGCATTTTTCTTTCTCACAGGGCTTGGCCAGGCAGGGTCATTTTACACCCAAAAGGGCAGTGAGAAGCATCCTTTCAGGTGAAAGGCAAAAGCCGTTAACACTCACTGCTGCATCCTTCTTCTGATCCAAATATGTCCACTGCCACCCAGTGCCCCATGAAGCCACAGCCCCTGAAAGCTGGTGGTTTGCTTCAGCCCCTGAATCTGACAGCTTGCGTGATAAAGTCTACAACTCGAGGGAAGGAAGATGCACCCCCTGCTCTGGGAGCCCCCCAACAAGAGATTTCCCACATGGAGTAACCCACAGGTTTTTGAAAGGCCAAAGGACTTTTTTACTGTGTCCAGAATTTGAGAGAAAGTGCGTCAAACCAAAAATGAGATAGCTTTTGTCCCTTGATTTCCACAGTCCCATATATCACCAAATGAAAGATCAGTGGAAGACCCCTAACCCACACTCTCCTCTTCCTACGTGTCTGTCTTTTTACTCTTCTCCTCCAGCTGGGACTCAAACCTGGATGCCAGCCCAGTGCTTCACCACTCTCTCTACCCTCTACCCCCTACCATTTTCTTACTGTGTTTTTTTGATCAGGAAAAATACAAATGAACTCAGTATGTTAATATTCCAAAGAATGCTTAGGGGAAGGTTTTTTAATTATTGGAAAGGTCAGAGCTTCTAAATAGCTCCACTTACCTTCAATTCATAGGTAAATTTGTACAAAGACAGAGTTACGTGCAGCTTGCGGAGTAGAGAGAAATAGATGGCACTGTCCACAGCGGTCTCCTGCTCACGCAGCTTAGACAGGATCTCAGGGGTGACTTTAGATCGGGGTGTTCAGCTCTTCAGGGAGCCCAGATGGACAGAGGAACGCAGTGATTCTGGAGGGAAGAGCTGAAAGCCACCTTCAGCACACCTGCCCTCAGCTCTGCCTCCTGGAACCACAGGCCCTGTGCGAGTGCCTTCCACTCAGGCGACGGCCACACCCTCAGCCAGCTCGCCCCACACCAGGATCATCTCCTTGCCCCACTTTTTTCTCAGATGTTTTATTCTTGCAAAACCTTCCCAATTTAAAACACAGATTTCAAAGAACTGTTTTAATTTTTATTTGTATTAGCATGTTTGCCGTACATAATGATCACATTCATCCTGGGGAGTTGGTACGTGTACATAGCACATCTTAATTCTTTTTACTTCTCCTTCTCCTCCCCCTCCTGCATCTCTTGGTCCCCTTCCCATCAGCAAAAGATTTATCTCCCTGTTTCCTATTATCTATCTTTTATTTTGCTCTTCATTTATACGTGGGGTTTCTCATATAAGAGAAACCATGTGATAGTTGAGCTTTTGTGTTTCATTTATTTCACTTAACATTATGGTCTCAAGGTGCATCCATTTTCCTACAGAAAATGACTCAAAATTATCCTTCTTCATTGCAGAATAGTACTCCATTGTCTATCAAAACCACATATTCTTTATCCATTCATCTGTTGATTGACAGATAGTCCCTTCTAAAACTTAGCTATTATGAATTGTGCTGCCATAAACATGAGTATGCATCTATCACTATAACATGATGTCTTTAACTCATTTGAGAAGATACCTGGAAAGGGACTACTTGGTCAAATGGAATTTCTAGTTTTAGTTTTTTGAGGAATCTCCATTAAAACACGTAACTAATTCTATGGCAGGGCAAAATGTGCATCTCTGAACTCCTATATTAGTATCCAATTAAATACTATCAAAATGAACCAATTCTTTCAACACTTCACACAGGTTATCATACTGCACCAAAACAAAGTGCTCTCTGCCCCAGTGACTCCAGTCTGCTGTCTATTGGCACTGCTTTGGCTGTGTTGTTAGGAAGGATCCATGCAGGCTGGCCTCATAGGCCATCGAATGCAATGCTCTAAGTATCTGTACATCCTTTTAACTCCAGGTGTGGTGCTCAGATGCAGCACCAGCATCAGCCGAAGTGCAAGTTCACGGGCTTTGTGCCTGACCCTCTGAATCAGAATCTCCAATGCAAGGGCCAAGGGAAGGACATTGTAACCAGCCCTCTGGGGGGCTCTCATGCACACTGAAGCTTGAGAACCACTGGTGTAAATGAACCTTTTGTGCCAAAAAAGAAAAAGAAGCAGTAAAATAAATAGGAAGTAATAAACAGAAAGGAAGGACACACAAGGTTAAATTCTGTAAAGTAGCAAGATGTGAAAAGATAAGAGGAGAACGGAAGCAGTGAAAACCAGCTCCCTAAAGTAAAAGACAACCAAGGGGCTTCTGAGTCACAGCAGCCACTCACGAGGCACAGGACCTACAAAAATCACCTCTCAAAAATGCATGCAGTCATAGAGCAAAACTGTGCTACTAGTAAAACCAATTTTTTAAAACTTAAATGACAGGGTCTCCAAGTGTGATGCTCAAATAAATGTTTCATCCCCAAAAGCCGCCCACCCCAGCCCCTTTAGACACGGCTTTAGAGGTGTCTTTGGGTTTACCCTGAAGGCCACGTGCTCACGGTCTGCCTTTGTTTCTCAGTAAAGGGCTGCCTTCGAGTTCGACCTTCACCTTGGAGGAGGGGACCATCTACTTGACTGCGGAGCCCAACACCGTGGAAGTACAGGACGACAATGCCTCTGTGCTTGACGTCTATTTAGTAAGTAATTTATTTCAGTTTCATCCCCTCCCCATCGGGTTTACAGATGGATCCAGGCCATGGTGTACACAAAAACAAGCTCTAGAAAACCAGCCATCCTTGGGTTTTAGGAGAAATAATGGCACCCTGTCACTGCTACAAAGGGCGTGTCTCTTCACATGCAGTGCTTCACCACAGCTCGTGTTGAACAATTACACAAAAGGCTATCTGGGTCAGCACTTCATCACCATAAACCCCAAGAGAACGGAGCCCCAGGGGTCAGCAAGATGGGGCTCCCTGACGCCATTGCCCTCGAAGTAGCTCCTCCCTTTGACTGTGCTGTGCCCTTGTGCTTGAATCTTCTTCATTTAGGTTTTGCCTCCTGTCTTACCACTTTCTCATGGTTGGGACATAACTCCTGACACTACAACTTAGAAAAAGGGGAGTTTAGTTTGGCTCACAGTTTCAGAAGTTCCGGTGCATGGTTGGCAGGCACATGCCCAGAAACAACACAGTAGCAGAGCCTGCAGTGGAGGGATGCTGCTCACATCATGGTGGACAGGAAACGCAGAGAAGAAAAGAAATAGGGAGGGAGATATGCCCTCCCAGGTCCAGCCCCCCATGCCCTGTCTCTTAGGACCCCCACCCTAACCCTAAGTCAGCTTTAGCACCCCCAGATCCAGTCACCTTCCAAAAGACCCACCTGTGATTGCGTGAGTCTTTGGAGGACATTCTAGATCCAAACTCCAACACTTCTTGCTAAGCCCACGAGGTGCGGAACTGGGTTGCTGGAAGAACCTGAATTCAGCACCAGTGAACTTTGACTGCCTCACTGGTTGTCACCAACGGGCTGTGTGATACAGGCAGAACCTCTCTGGCTGTGTCCCCTGCCTGTCTCACAGGGTGCTCTGAGGTTCACGAGTGATTGGTGTGAGAACATCCTTTGGTGCCTGTCAGATCAACTATGCTGCCTTAACTGGGTTTTTAAATGGTGGGAAGAAGATACTTTGGCAGGCTAGAGTGCACTAAAGGGGACTGAGTATTTCCCCTACAAAGTACAGTTCACACACGTACCCCACATCCTCGGCCACCCGCACGAGTCGCGTGAAACAGGGAAAGTGTAAGCTGTGTTAAAGCTGAGCCAATACTGTCCATCACTGTGGTGGACAAGCCCAGCCTCGGGAATCCACGCCACTTGGCATGGGTCTCCTAGCAGCACACCTGCATCCCACCCAGCTCCTTGAGCCGCGTCCTGTGCCTCTTTGTACCCCACAGCCGGGCACAGTATTTCCTCAAGTGTTTGCTGCAGGATGTCAGACACCTAAAAGGTTACTCTGGAGCCCACAGCCCTCTAGTGTCTTCTCAGCTCTCCTGAAGTGAAATCCAGAGTCCTCACAGCCCTCCCTGGTCTGGTGTCCCATGCCTCTGTCACTGTTCCTCCCTGGGCCTTTGTCTTCCTTGTTGATGTTACCGTATTAAAGCCACTCTGGCCTCTTTGGGGTTGTTCCCCAGACCAAGCACCATTCTATCCTCAGGGCCTTTGTGTTTGCTGTTCCTGTCTGTATCCTCTTTCCCAGAGCCCACCATGCTTCTCCTTCACTTCCTTCATGCCTCAGCCCAAAACATCTGCTTTTCAGAAAGTCTTTCCATGATCACCCTGTACAAAGTAGCAGGTCCCCCACTGTGAAAAAATGTTTTCATAACCCGTAAATATCCAGGGGGTTTTACTAAACAGAATTTTTTTCCACTTTGCACTTCTTCTGCTCCCATTTAAAAAATAAGTTAATTGTATATCACAAAATTTTTACAAAAATGTTGATGCCACACACACACACACACACACACACACACACACACACACACAGAGCCAAGAAAATAGGGAATTAAATAGGAAAATATTAAACAGTTTTGGGGTTTTGGATTTCTTTGGTTTTGGTTTTTTGTTTGTTTTGGGGGGTTTTTTTGGATCTCTTGGGAGTCTGGGTTCATCTGGAAGTGGAAATCACAAAAGCATGTCAGAAGGCCGGGGATTTAGCTCAGTGGTTCCGTCGCCTGCCTCGTAAGCGCAAGGACCCGAGTTTGATCCCCAGTACCAAAAAAAAAAAAGCATGTCAGAAAGAGGCCAAGTGATGTCTCATCTTCCTTAGCCAAAGGTTCACGCCACTTTTGTGTCAGTACAAAGCGAGGCTTGCACCAGCCGGGAAGGGGCAGCTCTCCCAAATGCAATGTGAGGTTACAAGGTGGTAAATGGCTTGGTTCATGCCACTTCCTGGTTGTTGTCTTATTAATCTATTTGCTTTTCCCTCTGTATGATCAATTTTATTTGTTAAAAAATAGTGCCCTTTATTTGGTTTTCTTAGTTTCTCATTTCATTGCTTTCTTATGTGTCTTTACTTTAACACTGAAAAGCTAAGCATTTCAGAGGATAGTGCTCAACTCAGAAGCCAGTGTTCATTGTTAGCTGTCCTGCAAGCACTGGAGGACCAACTAGAAATAAAGGAATCATGCATGCGTTGCTAACTGAAAGAGATGGTGGTGGTGCCAGCTGGCTGGCTGGTCATCTGCTCAGTCTTCTAGCACATTTATTGTGGTTTAAAAGTGAGGGAGGAGGGCCAGGGATTTAGCTCAGTGGTTTTGCCGCCTGCTGCACAAGCGCAAGGACCTGAGTTTGATCCCTGGTGCCAAAAAGTGAGGAAGGGGAAGAAAGAAAAGAGAGAGAAACTGGGTATGGTGGCACATGCCTGTAATCCCAGCACTCTGGGAGGCTGGAGCAGGAGAGTCACAAATTCAACCCCAGCCTGAGTTAGCAAGATCTTGTATCAAAATAAAAAATAAAAAAGGGGCTGGGGATGTAATTCCGGGTGAAGACCCTACATTCAATCCCCACACCATAAAAGGAGAAGGAGAAGAAGAAAAGGGAAAAGAGGGCCAGGGATTTAGCTCAGTGGTTCTGGCACTTGCCTCGCAAGCGCAAGGTCCCAAGTTC